GACAAGCATGGAATTTCTTTGATCTTTCTTCTGGACTTTGTCTTGCTCAGGTATGTTGTGCACTTGATACAGAAAGGTTCTTTGTGGCAGTACTTATGCGACGCTGCTTTAGTTTCTGAAGTGGGTTTTTTGATAACATTACTTGGTGTAATTCTCCTTTGTCATGTAATGGATAGATAAATCTAGATTCTGAATCCGGCATGTTCAAAATACCTACATCTGGATCAGGTAAATGAGCCAAGTGTGCAAGCTGGATTTACATCAGCATCTTTTCATCCTGACGGGCTGGAACAGCAGAATCATTGGTTCGGATATGGGATGTGAAATCTCAGGTTTGTTTTCTCCCTTCCGTTATCATCTGTTTCCGTGAGCAAGTGTGTGTATGATATAATGATTCTATGTACCAGAGAATTGGCTTTCTGATCACTCATGTCACATGCATTTTTTATTTTTTATTTATTTCAGGCCAATGTTGCCAAGTTTGAAGGACGCACTGGTCCCGTGACGGCAATCTCTTTCTCTGAAAATGGTTACTTCTTGGCAGTAAGTGTCATTCTTCTCTTAGTTGTTTTGTTCAGTAGCTGGTTATATTGCTGCCCAGTAGTGTTGAAAATAGAATTGTTTCTCCTCATATTATGCATTCTACTTTTTATTTAGTTAAATTTATGTCACTTATAATAAATTTAGGGTCATCAACATTATTGCAAGAGAATGATGAACTATTGAACGGGGGCCCATCATGTTCTAAAATGTTTGAAGTACGACTATCTAATGAATTTGTCACTTAGACTTGTCAGGGATCTTGTATTTATTCTATGCAGTATTTGACAAGAGATGCTAAACAGCTGCTGCAAGGTCTGTTGGAATCAGTGGGAATTCTGAGGCTCTCATTTATTTGTCTTGCTCTTTGTCATGTAGAGGCTTTATATTCTCTGCCCCAGTATGTTTGCTGATTCAGATGTTGTTCACAGACAGCTGCGCAAGACGGAGTTAAGTTGTGGGATTTGCGGAAATTGAAGAACTTTCGCTCTTTGACCCCTTACAATAATAAAACGGCAACAAATACTGGTCAGTTTTGTTTCTTACAAATATATTTCATATTGGTCTCTATTTCTTGTCTTGTTCCCTTTTTGCGATGTTGAGTTGGTATTTGTCATCGTGAAGTGATGACTTGGGTGTGAGTACTTTCAACACAAATTTTTTCGATGACAATAAATAAATGAATGTTGAAGGAGCCATTAAATGTAGATGATGTTTTGGTTGTGTGCTTGCAGTGGACTTTGATTACAGTGGTAGTTACCTAGCTGTTGGTGGTTCAGACATAAGGTAATTCTAAATTCATAATGAATGTACATTCCTTTAAGTATCTCAGTATCATAAAAAGTAAATTTTGTTCATGAATTTGTATTATGAGTTATTCGCAGTCCTGATATTGGTGGAATTTTTTCAGAGTGTATCAAGTAGCAAGTGTGAAGCAGGATTAGAATACTATCAAAGTCTTCCCTGAACTTTCTGGGACACGTGATATTTTCCTGGTTTTGATGCATCTTTCGAACAGTTTCGAATGCATTTTATGAATGTGAGACTCCGGTTCGTCTGTAATTCAGTACCGATATTTTATACAGAAAAGTCTACTGCTTCGGCATTTTTCCAAGTATCAATAGGTTCCAATATTTAAGTTTTCTTATTGAAAGAGACCAGCGAAGTACCTTAAAAACCCAATCCCAAGATGCCTGAAAGTGAAGCTCATTATTATGTTTACATGTTTGTAACCGACTGTGCCTCTGTTTTGATCGCTCACGTCACTTAATTGATGTGGTTCATTTTGTGGCTGACAGGTAAAGTGACATCAATTCGTTTTGGGCCAGGTGCGTCATATTTAACGGTTGGAAGCAGCGATCGCAACCTACGTATTCTTGGTGCCCCTACGGTTTCCTCCGATTCCTGATTTCTTGAACTGATTTGTGGAGATAATTTGTGAAGTGTTGATCCATCACTCTCTTGGTAGACCAACGGTTTGGGCCCTCTCAGTTATGGATGTTCTGAGTACGAAACGATTAGTTCAGCAAAGCTGCAACCATCCAGAGATGTACTGAGGATCTGCCAATTGTAATCATGTCACGGCCCCGCCTTCTCTAAGGCCCACTTGAAGCTGCACTCTTTCAGAAATTTGCGCTAGTTTTCGCCTAACTAGGAGGTACCAGAAGTTGAAGGCTATTTTTTGAGGTGCAAGTTGACTCACGTATCCTACATTTCCTTCGTTATTATGGCAGCTTCTTGACCCAAACAAAGCTCCAGTTACATCACGAGGTGTACAGTTTGACAAACTGACAGTGATTTGTACCTTGATTGTCTCCAAGTTGTGACTTTGCCCTGAGCTGATTTATTGCTTGTGGAGGCATTGTTCTCTCTAAAAAATAGCTAATTGTAAACCATATTCCTAAGAATTGTAGGATTCACTTTTTTTTACAAACCCAACTCATCCTATACAAAATTCTATCACTAACCTTGCAATGTATGTTACTCTTTGAGAAATATTTATGTAATAGTATAGGATTGTATTATGATCTATATTTTGGATAGATATCAGGTTGGAATTACAACAAATGAGACTTAATTTGTGACTATGTGCACCATACTTAATTTGAATACAAATGGTTAAAATCTAGAAGGAATAAATAGCCACTAAGGAATAGGTGGTGAGTTTGTACAATGGTGAGGGAAATAGAAGCCAAGTGTATTAAGTTGAAGGATTTGAGAGATGGAATCAAATCTCAAATGTGGCATGATTAGTAGTTGGAATTGAATTCTTCATCTAAGATAGATGACACATTTGTAAAAACTCAAGCATATTAGCATATTTTTAGTAAGTATAAAAATATTTTTAAAAAATACTTCTATATAGAAAAATAGAAATCAAGGAGATTCTAGATGTTTTTACACAATTTTGTCCAAAATTAGAAGTTACATTAATGTTTTAACTTAAGATTCACTTTGATCCATTTTTGACATATGAGCCAACCTAATTCCAACTAATGGTGGATTACAAAATTGAGAATCCAACTTTTACGAAATCAAGAAGTGTAGTATCTAATTATGCTATTATATAATCCCACCTAATTAACAATTGCAACCTATATCAATAGTTTACATATATCCATTCCGAATACAATGAATTTTATTTATTACTAATAGTTTAACATCATTTTATCTAGCTTCTAATCTATTTTTGGCTAAATGATGTCAAACTTGGTCAACAATAGGTTACGAAACTCACAAAAATATCCCACCTTATAGGTTGGAAATAGAGGAGGGTGGTCAACAATGAGTCAGCTACCTTAGTCAAAGGTAACAACATTATTTGCCACTAGCACCAGCCTTCTTAAATGATGTCCATGACCTCAAATCTCACATTATTTATATTAATGTTGATTTTCCTTAACTTATTGCCTACACATTGGGCAAAAATGACAATGGTATCATGAATGGATGAAATGATGAAAGTACAAGTTGAACACTTATCTCTCTAAATTAGAAATAAATTAGTTTAGGCTAATATAACTAATTTCCATCAATTCTTTCTATTTGCTTACTACTTTTGGATATATGGGAATGTAGATATTTAGAACACATATTGTAGATGTTGAAATGTATTAGACATTCTAATTATTTTTCTAAGTATATTGTCTTCCTAATGTCCATATTGAATACATACACACAAAATAAAAAAGGAAAAAAAAGACATAGACATAGAATTAAGTATGTAATCTCAAACATTGATTAAATTTTATAATTGTGATTGAGAAAGCTTTGGAGTATATTCAAGTTTGTAATTTGAAAATGAGCATACCTAAATACTATTCAAAAAAGACCCCCTCTTTCTCCCTTTTGTTGAAAACAAACTCCTTGTGTCCAAAAATTAACCACCAACATTTACAACACCACTTCTTTCTTTCTATTCAAATTACAAACCACACACAAATAAAAAAAAAAAACCATGTGCTATTTAGAACAACACTGGCATTCTAATAGAACAACTGAGAACAAAAACATTTGCACCAATTGAGTTTAAGGAAGCAATGCACAAAGTGAAAACACAATCGTCTTTGTTTATTTTTATTCTTGTCATAACATTGGCTAATTATGACTTGGTGGGCCCGAAATAATCTAATATTTTTTTTTTTTATTATCATTTTATATTTATTTATCCATTGGGAGTGAATTGGGCGCGAGGCATTCTGAAAGATTACTGTGCTCTACAGTGTCTAAGTTCAATCTGAGACCCCATCTCCGAGGAATAATCGTTGAAAAGCTAAATAGTGTGTCTTTGCATCTGAATCTGAGGATGATTTAACCACGTTTGCAATAAAAAAAGAAGTGACAAACTCAGTACCACCTTAGTCATGGAACTGTGTCCATTGGTTTGTGTTATCGTCTTCTCACCTTCTGGGCATGAAGCAGTGTATCGTGAGATTAAGATCATGCAAAAGACATTGCTGTGAATACCTTGAATTTCTACGTCTCTGACGGGTGAAGTATGTTTGGTTTGTGAAATTCCAGTGCGCATCATTCCTACATCGTGCTTGTGATGCAATGACATGTTTGCACTGTGATAGGAGGTGCTCGAAGCAGATATAAGGTGTGCTACAGAGATTTTCTGGGTGGAGTGCTTCTTTCTCGTCTTGCTTGGATAAAAAGAACATACAAATTAGAACAATTGTAATAGTTTCGTCTTCGCATTAGAGGGGGTTTGTCAGCATATTTGCCAGTTAATCGTAGTTCAGACTTCTATGCATTCCTGGAAATGAACATCAGCTACTACAGGTGGCGAAAACGCAAACTTACATAGTAAGAATGTGAAGAATAATCAGCTTTCCGCGACATGCAAGTCATCATTTCTTGTGAATCGGAGTGCTGATGATGTATAGATCTTGCACGCACGTATAATTCACGTGGAAACACGGTAACACCAGCACACAAATGTAGCGCAACCCCTGCAGTATGTAAAAAAGCACTTATTCCTTATTTCGAATGGTCCAAAAACTGTATAAGGATGTTCAGAGTATTAGCGGTGAACAGACCACTCCTACGAAGTAATTAAGCGGGATTTAGAACTGCTCCATAGCAAACTCCATTTCTAGGCAGGATGAGTTACCACCGTCACCGAAACTGCAATTTTCTGAAAATTCTAATGGAAAGGTCTCAATGGACTAATTCAGCTAAGTGGAATTTGGGTTTGTTGCACTTGATTTCTTCTCAGAGCCCTCAGGGTTCTCGGGTTGCCATGACTGGTAGCGTTTCCAGTCTCGCTTGTTAGGATTAAGAGCATGACCTTTGGTCATGTGAATCATGCCGTCTCCACGACCTGTCAAGTTCTCCTTGTGAGCCACACCATATCTTGTGGGCTTCAACTTCATCAGCTGCCATACCGTCAAAACATAAGATTAATTGACGAACATGTACAAGAGGGTGCAGTATATGAAGATATTTCAAGGCTGTCAAAGCACCCGATCGCTTTCGATTATTGCACATGTGATGGATTAGATAAGTAATAAGACATCTTCTGAAAGACAAACAAACCTCTTCAGCAGTGTGGTCACTGATGTGATGAAGCCAAGCGTGCCATTCAGGTGGAACAGCTGAAGCATTGTAATTCGATTGATCGGCGTATACCACCCATCTGTGCCTTCCTGTAGAGAAAATAATACTAGGTTGGTAAAATTTTACTTCTACACAAGCGATTATGTTTCCAATGTGTATTCATTTTCCTTTTCTAGAAAGTAATATATAAATCACAAGTAGGTAGCACTGAGACTGATTCATACCAAACTGAACATTTTCCTTTTTTTCGTAGTACTTGTTTCCCTGAGTGTCTTCTCCGACTAATGTTGCATCAAATTCTCTCATTTTTGAATGCCTGCAGACAGTTTCCGGGGTCAACAAATTTGACCTTAACAGAGCGTGATAACACTTTGATCTAGCTACAAATACCAATTCTTGATAAACTGAAGAACGCCGCGTTATAGAACATCCTTTAAACCCAATAATAAAATTCACAAAAACACAAAGCGCACAAATATTTGCAGGAAATAACGCAAACAATAATTTGTACTTACAGCAAGTTACCATCAACGAGAATTCTGGCCCTGCAGCAAAACACCAGAAAACGGTCAAGATACAAACAAAATCATCAAAACATCTACCGTTACGAGTAGAGAGAGATGAAACCTAGTGAACAAACACAATTGAACATGTGATAATTTTTCCATTATCTACATGACACCAACTCACACGAAGATGAGTCACCACTAACTGAGTCACACGAGGATTAGCCAACAGTATTCAATGATGTTGAAAACTCAATGCAAAATTATTCTCCGGTGATTCATGCGATTTTTCGAATCTTTGGTCCAAACATAACGTCATTAGAAGGGACCCTATCGACAGAACTGTATCCAACTGATCAACTGTACAGTCACTGTAGCAATTCAACGTATCATGTAGCCAGATGCTAATCAAGCTCGACTGAACCTTGTTCCAGATATACAGAACAAAAGAGAAGCAAAGGTGCAGGAGAAGAGATAAAGAAGAGGATTGTTATGTAAGGAGATTCTTCAAAAGTGAAGATCGGCATGCAACATGGATGTAAAGCAGAACCTAAAGTAAAAAACAATTAGTGCGTGAATGATTTCGTAGAAAGGGAGAAAAACCTCAAAACCTACAATGGCGCAAAAGTACTCGCACTAGACAGAATCTCTAGATGGTAATCCTGCTCGCATGAATCTCTCCAGAAGCTTAACCTCAAGAACTAGAGACAAATCTAGCGCAGTGCAATCCACCCTTTAGAAGAAGCCAAAAGACATTCGAAATATTCCCAACTCCTTCAACCTGCAATGTCCTTAAGAAAAAACCCATAAAAGGTAACCCTAAGCCGGACGAGAACAACCGATGCAAAACCTCAAACTATACGAAAGCTCTCTATTAGGGCAAATTCAACAACACGAAATAGGCAGAGAGCGTTACAAGTTGCCAGTTCTCTTGGCTTCACGCAACGCAGCGAAGAACCCATTGTTGCGCACTTTGTCCAAGGCCGCCTTAAACCCCGAGGACGCCATCTCTCTCACTCTCGTCGCGGAATTGCGAATGAAAGATCCTCGCACTCTCCTGACACACACACACACAGGCAAAGCTGCCCTTAAGCTCCAGGAGTCAGCAAAAACCCGCAGGGCCACCGGGGCGGTGATGGGAGCGCCGAAGCGGCTCCCATCACCACCACAACCCCATAACCGACCCCTCGTCTACGTCATGGATGAACCGCGCTATTCTTGTCTTCATCCTTGGATGAAAGTTTCTTCTGCCTACACTTGCTTAGCCCCTTCGCTCTTTCTTCAAGCTCTTCTTTTCTCTTACATTGGGTAATATGATATTATAAGTATATTTCAAGATTGGTTTCCTATTATTTTATAAAGCATTCTCTATTGAATCTTTATCCATGAAAATTGATATTTATTGCACATTCTCTCATGGAAAAAAAAAAAAAAAACTTTTTTATTTCTTTTTTTTTAAAAAAAAAACTAAAATAAATACATCAAGAGGTTGAATTAGAGCAATTTTGGACATGGTAAGATTTACCATTGATGGTATGTCATTATTTACCATTGGCTTGAGCTTTTTATAAGCTTTTTTATGATGGATTTTTGGGTCAAATTTTTATCATTTGACTTACTAATATTGCTATAGTTTTGTGATTTTTAATATGTATAGCAAAATACCAATTTTAAAAGTGACAAAGAAACATCTCTCTTATCTTCTACTAGCATAGCAGCATTTTTCTCTTCATTTTACTTTGTTTTTTTTTAATTAAACGAGGTTATTGTTGATGCAAAATAAAAATAATGCATTTGGAATTAGTTAAGTGTTGGTGTTGGGCGATTGGATTTGATTTTTGTTGGAAATACAACAAGGGTTAAAAATAAAGCTTTAATGGATCAACAAAGTTGGGAGAATTCCAAAAGATAGGTGAGTTTTGTTTGTTTGTTTTAAGATTGTGATCTTTTGTACTTGTTGTTTTGCTTAAAGAATCGTAACAATTTTTTTAAGCTATAATAAGTGGGTAGTTAATATAAATCAAGACACATCATAGAAAAATAGTTGGTGCACAATCAATTAGATGCTTAGTTGTTTGAAGAACTTCCTTGTTCCAAAAAGTAGAAGCTCTTCTACAAAAACAAGAAGACTTTGTTGGATATTACCATAATTATTAATGTTTTTACAATGTTGTTTTCTTAGATTTTATTTTATTTTATTTTATTTTTTAATGTAGTATGACATAAAATTTAGCTAGAGATTGTAGCAAAAACAATTATATATATAATGTTGATTTGTTTTTACTAATATAGATAATAATATTCAACCTACGTTTAGTTCTATTGGTATTTCATTTTGAAACTCTTATCTTTTGGAATTCTTTTCTTTTAATTTTATTTATTTATATTTTATAATATTCTTAATAAAGCATAAAAATAAGAACATAATTTTACATGTTTTAAAAAGAAATAATTTTATTAAATATATATATAGTTATTAATATGAATATTTCTTATTTATAATCTTTACTTTTTTTTATTGAGAGTACAAAAAACTAAAAACACAAATCTATGTGATTTGGAGTAGAAAAAAATTAACCTTAATCATTACAAGGATGCTTCTAGAGCTCCAAAAAACAAAAATAATTAAATAAATTTGAAAGAACTAAGAACAAGAATCTCACAATGCTAAGTCATAATATGTAATATTAATTAGAGGTAACAAAAGGGATTTGTAAGAAATAAAAGTAAAGACCACTACACACTATGGTTGATTGTGAAGCAGACAAAAGATTTAAAAAATAAGATTTGAGAGAAAAAATTGACCACTTGACCTTCATACTAGAGATGAATGGCCAATGAACATTTGGTTGAAAGTGCCTACATTACAACACTTGTATGGTAGTTTTAACACTAAGAAGTTGTCTACTTAAAAGAAATTGAATTGGACAAGAATGGATGCTCAATTCTTAATCAAGTAGACAAACCAAAAATCATATTTATTATATTTCAATGACTTCTACATTGATACCTTTCACCCAATTTCAAGTCGAGTCGTCCACTTGAAACAAGAAATTGGATTGGACAAGAATGGATGCTCAATTCTCAATCAAGTAGACAAACCAAAAATCATATTTATTATATTTCAATGACTTCTACATTGATACCTTTCACCCAATTTCAAGTGGAGTCGTCTACTTGAAACAAGAAATTGGATTGGACAAGAATGGATGCTCAATTCTCAATCAAGTCTACAAACCAAAAATCATATTTATTATATTTCAATGACTTCTACATTGATACCTTTCACCCAATTTCAAGTGGAGTCGTCTACTTGAAACAAGAAATTGGATTGGACAAGAATGGATGCTCAATTCTCAATCAAGTCTACAAACCAAAAATCATATTTATTATATTTCAATGACTTCTACATTGATACCTTTCACCCAATTTCAAGTCGAGTCGTCCACTCAACCATAGAACATGGTTGAGTTAGTAACAAGGTTAATAACAAGATTAGGAAGTGTCAATGTAGGGTTAGTAACAAGGTTAGGAAGTGTCAATGTGGGTTAGTAAGTATGAAGCAGGGTCAGTAAGAACATCAGCATCCTCTATTCTATTCAGGGGAGCATGAGTCTGTTGTTGCGCAGTCTTATCCGTGTTAGGGTGTAGGAATTGTAGCCTGACGGAGGAGAGAGAGATTTCCAAGTGAAGGGACGACGCAACAACAGCTTTGTGGGTTTGGAGAATAGAGTACAAGTCCTCTCGTGCGCCATTTTGAGCTACTTCACAGGAGCGAGGGACAGTTTTCCTCAAGTGGGTTTCCCTCCATGCCCCTTCATTTGGCACCAAATGTGAGCTAAGTTGGCATCTTTTCGCTACTATGGGAAGCTTGAGTTTGAGCTCATCACAATGGGAATTGGAGTTCGTCTTGTGACCTTCAGTGTCTGTCGTTGTATATCAAGTCTGCTGAAGCACAGGCTTCGTGTAATTAATTTGAGAGTTTTCAGCTTTTGAATGTTCAGCTGTGGGGTATAAGTTGGACGTTATAATAGTGATTAGAAATTCCGTAAATGGGTTCTGGTTCTTTCTGTGGGTTGAGCAACGTTGTCAATGTTTTGGAAGAGATTAAGGCTTTGAAACAATAACGGTGTCTTAGAAATTTCACAATGTCTGAGAATTATTGTAGGTGTTTATCACATCACTCCCTCTGTCATTTTAACGAGCGCTTCTGCACATGCCCAGTTGAGTTTACTTTCAAGTTTGAAAATATATTGAGCCAAAAGTAGTTCTCAATTAGCAGGACGCCTTTGGCGTTGAAACTGATGGTCTGATTGGCGGATTCTGCTTTGCAGCGACGGTGTTTCAAGATAACGGTTGTGGGAAGCTCTCAGTCTGCGCTTGTAAATTAAACCCCGGCATGACCTTAAACCCTTCTTGTGTTTAGTGAGAGGCAGCAGCCATGCCTTCAATGGCTGCACTTCTACTTGCTCCTTCAAGCTCTGGCAGTATCCTCCGGTACGTCACATCTTTGATTGCAGGACGTTACGTTTGCCGTGAAGGAATTCGTAAATTATATGAAACACCCTTAAGTCGATTTCTGCGTCAATGTTTGATACTACTGGACGTAATTATTTCGTATTTATGGCCAACAGGGCCAGCACAAGCGTGGGAGCATCATGCAGCCTTACATCTTCAGAGTGTTGTAGGAGTAACACACAGCGAATCCATACGGCAAATGCGGCAGCTAAATCAATGGAAGAAACGGGCTCAGAGGCTCAAATCGGAAGGGTCAAGTACAAAGCTCCAAAGCGAGGTAGTCCACAGTTAATGAAGTTGACTTGCCCATGGCTTTCTTTGTGGGTGCTTTGATTTCTCGTTGTTAGATTTGTGGCTGAGGAGTTGCTTGGGTATTGCCAGTTGCCATCAGGAGAGGGAAAGGGTGGGTCAACATGCCAGAGCCTGGGAATGAGCGAGCACCTGCTGTTCTTAGTCCCACTGCCGCAGTCTTAATGCGGAATGTAATTGCACAGAAAAGTCATCAGGATGTGTGGGATGTCCTCGACGCTCTTCCTCGTGGTATTGGTACGTGGGAGGCTATAATGGAGAATGTTGCAGAGCTTAGAAGGCTAAGAAATTGGCGAAGCGTGATATTGGTATGGGATCGTCATGAAATCTCTTAGATGTGTCTTGTTTTCCCCACTACAAATAAATCTGAGTAGTCTAGGTTATCTTCGTTTGTGTGTCTTTCCAGATAATTGATTTGAGGAAGTGCTAAATTTATTCCTTTCTTTGGATTCCTTCATTTGTATGCCGTCTTTCATTTGAATTACAACAGATCCCTCTCCTTCTACCTAAAGCATTTTTAAGTGTTTTTAGGGATAGTTTTGTTGAAGGAATTGCCTTGTTTCAGGTAGTAATTTGCACTTTGTTATATTAAGAGTCTATCCTGTCTCTGCAGATTTTAGAGTGGATACTTCAAGGAACAATGTTCAAGCCAGACGTGGGCTGTTTCAACATGCTAATAGACGCGTACGGTAAGAGCAAGCAGTGGAGAGAAGCGGAGAAGACTTTTCATCTCATGAAGGACTTTCAGTGTTTGCCTACAGAAACCTCTTTTAATGTCCTCCTGGCTGCCTATTCTCGTGGGGTCCAGCTCGAGAAAGCCGAAAAGTTGTTTCACGAAATGAAAGAATCAAATTATTCTCCAGGTACAGGTTTTAATTACCTCTTCCATATGACTTCTGTCATCCTTCTCTAATTTGATAGGTACGACATTTTGCATGATCTTTATGCATTTCCTCTAGCATAGTTTGAATATAGCGTGTTGAGATATGCTTTCGCAGTTCTAACAGTTGAATGGATGATATTTTCAGGCATAGCGACGTATAACACTTATCTAGAAGTTTTGGGCAAGTCTGGAAGGTTGTCGCAAGCTGAGGACACGTTTCGGGATATGCAGAAGCAAGGAATTCTTCCAGCAGTCAATACTTTCACAATCATGATCAACATTTATGGTAAAGTAAGTCACCTTCTGGTTGAAGTGAAACCACCGTTATCAGCTTCTCAAAGGGGTTTCATGATTGAGAATTTTGTACTGGTTCGACTACTGCAAGTAGGGAACTTTCATTTGCTTGACGTAGTTCTTGTAGGAATTCAGCCTTAAATGATGCTGATCAAATCAACTTTGGAGTTCTCTTTTTTCTTTTTACATTTTTTGGAGAGTTCAACCTTTCAAATTTCAATTGTCCATCAACTAGGCTTACTATTCAGACAAGGCCGATGATCTCTTCCGAAGCATGCGTAAGGCGTTGTGTCCGCCCAATCTTTATACCTACACCGCACTCATGAATGCTCATGCTAGGGAGGGGAATTGTGTGAGGGCTGAGGAGATATTTGCGGAGCTCCAATCAGTGGGCTTTATTCCTGACGTTTATACTTACAATGCCCTGTTGGAAGCATACAGGTTTGTTGATACAACATGTTCTTCATCATGATGTGTTTATGACAATCATTTTTCTGTTTTCAGTTAGAAATATAGCACACATGTAGTATGTGTTGCTAAGGAGATGTGCCGAATGGATTCATTTTTTCTTCATATCTAATCCAGGACTAGTTATTCAGTTGCAAGTCATTTAAAAGGTTGTTAGGTGTGCTGCAGCTGATCAAAGTTTTGGAGATAGGTTAGGGAGAAGGTAGATGCATGCAATGAAGACGTTATTTGTAATTGTATATTTTAGAACTCAGGAATTTTGATGTAACATAGCATATTGCTATTCTCTGCTGTTAAATGATAAAATTCACTTGTTGCTTACTCTTCATAAAAACAATTATTCACTGCGCATACTCTCGACCAGGGACCTAAGTTTAAAAAGTATGTGTTCTGTGTGATTACAGTAGGGGAGAGCATCCCACTGGAGCCAAGGAAGTGTTTCAGGCCATGGTAGAAGCAGGCGTGAGACCAGATCAAGTTTCATACAACATACTCATTGACGCCTTCGGTCGTGCAGGTTTAACTGCTGGTACGAACTGAGTCATTTATGTTATTTACCTGGTCATTACAGTCCGTTAACAGTTGCATACGTTGGAAAATGTTCTGTACCCGCAGCAAATAATGTAATATTAGAGTTACTCTTAATGGTTCTCAGCTGTAAACCTACCTTTTATGTTTAGAGCTTACTTGATCGGATTAAGATTATTCACAGTGGAACTGTGACGTTACAGATGCGCAAGCTGTCTACGATTCTATGAAGGAGGCAGGGTTTAAACCTACCATGAAGTCGCACATGCTTCTGCTAAGCTCTTATGCTAAAGCAGGAAAGGTCACTGAAGCTGAGCGTTTGGTACGAGAAATAGAAAATTCTGGAGTGAAGCCTGACACTTTCATGTTCAATTCTCTTCTAAGCGCATATGGAAATTCAGGAAGGTGAATAATTACAATAAGCACTTCCCTTTGGTGGTTTCTTCCTAATGCACAACAAAACCACTTAGGTGTGGGAATTCGATCCTTAAGTTATCCCAACTCATGCAGTTTTGGTAGCTTGTGCTAAAGGAAAATAGACAGTTTTTGATAACAGTTTCTGAGAAGACGATCCTCGCTAGATGTTCTCACTAGTCACGTTATTGATATCTTATTCAGTACTTAATGATATTTTCCAGGATAGATGAGATGGAGAGCTTGTTGGAATCTATGGTGAGCAGTGTGGCAAAGCCAGATATCAGCACCTTGAACACTCTCATTAATGCCTATGCACAAGGTGGATATATCGAGAAAGCAGAGGAGGTCTTTAATTCGCTGGAGTCTAAGGGGTTGACACCTGACGTAATGTCGTGGACCTCACTCATGGGTGCTTATGCCCAACGAAAGCTTTTCAGGAAATGTGTTTCAATATTTCAGAAAATGGTTAAGGCGGGTTGTATCCCAGATAGAGCTACTGCCAAAGTATTTCTTTCTTCTTGTCGTAGTCCAGAGCAGGTGAAGGAGGTCACAGATATGATTGAAAGACATAGATAAGAGACTGATCAGATGCACAAAATTGTGCACCCGATGTCTAAAGGCGAGTGTTGGATAGATCGAGTAATTTTTAGTATCACTATTTAAAGCCTTCATTATTCTTGAATCATGCAGCTCATGGCACTTGTCATATCTGAAATGTGAATGCCCTTTGGGATAGTGATTAGTGTTCTGCCTTAAATTGCTTGTATTCTTTTCCTCGTGAATTTAGTGGCTACTCGAGTATATCTATGAAAGTTAGTTAAGAGTGCATATCCCCTTGCAGCTGACATGGAGGACTTTCAGGCCTTAGAAACGACTCCTGCAATATCCAATGAACTTATATAGTGCACACTTGGATTGGGTTCTCCTTTAACTAGTGTATCTCTCGATGTTATTTCAAGACTGCCATGAAAAGTGAGTACTTTGCAAATTTTGCTGAAAATGAAGCAGTTAACTTGACTACAATGTATGGAGACTGAGGAGTAGAAGAGATTGGCAGTGTCCATCTCATGAAGCTGGAGTGACGAGAGGGTGCACTCAGGGTTCATGTCGAACCGGAGCCTATGCTTAAAAGAACTGTAAGCGGAGATTAGGCTCGACGATGGCAGAGTCCTTTCACCATCTACACCGCACCTCACGTCTCCTCGACGCCCCTTCCCGCATTCCGGAGGTGAGCTTCCTTCTTTCTAGTTTATACCAGCGTGTGCTTGCAGAGCCTCTTCTATAGATGATGAAATTGAGGCTGAAACGTAGTATATTTTAGGATTGAGGATTTGGGGTTTCATGGGAGGTGTGTTGAGCTTCTTGGTTGTGATGGGAGCTCTTCAAACCGCCTAATCGGTATCCGGGCCGCACATGGTGATATTTTGTTTTTTTCTGGACTGTCGCAAGTCCAATTTCTGAGGTTATGGAGGTTTTCGGCCTTAAAGCTTTCACTACGTCCATTTGTAGGATTGTGGTTTTTCATTTCTTAGTGGTCGGGTTTTATAAACGAGGTACGGGAGATGACGTTTTGAACATTCTCGGGTGATTCAGAAATCTAGAATTTTTGAGTTTTTGAGGATTTCTTGGTTATCGAAATTAACAACCAAGATAACCAAGGTTTCGATCGTCACCAAGTTCTTGTCCGTTATGCAAAAGCACGGTGTGCGAGCTGAATTTTAAACTTTTGTTTGAATGTAAAGAATCGTGTAAGTCTGAAGGAACTGACTTCCTATATATCAACACATAGACTAGGCTGCATGCATGATATTGACTTTTGTGGGAGTGCCTACAGTATTGAGCCGCACATATTATTTCTATTTCAGTTGTTTAAACAGACTTAGTCAGGCAGTGAGGTGCATTTCCTATGTCATAAGATTTGACGGCGATGTTCTACGTCTTAGCCTCAGTTAATTCAAACGCATCCCATCTCCGCTTCTGTGATGTGATTAATAAATGCTGACGAATTCGTCACTTCGCTAACCTTCTTGTTAGGGTTCAGGCTACATCGGTGAGCTAGTAGATGAACACAGAGCCGGCAGAATTGTTGTTGAGTTGAACGGCAGGCTCAACAAGTGCGATGTGATCAGTCCTCGCTACAATGAGTAGAAATCAAGGATTCATGAGTTCAAGCGATTGTTCTGGAATTTCAATTTGACAACATAATTCGAAATTTCTACCTAAATATATTTTGTAATTCTAATTTGATTACACATAAATATGTACATTTATATATTTATTTATTCACTAAATAAGTAGCAAACTTGGCATACTAATCGACAGGAAATGCACATCTTTCTAAATGAGAATCTACAATAGGATATAAAGGGAAAGGTGGATGGACACAAAAGATTCAACTTCTCTAGAAATGAAGATGTAAACCTTCAGCTACTTCTTGCGTGGATAAAGCCACAACCTTGGGAAGATGTAATCCTCTATGTGAATGACACAAAACAAAAGCAAAAACAACACTGATTGTTCAAGACATACCAATGATTATTTGTGATCAGTTGCCAAATTAACCGCGATGTTGTTGACGTTGGTGACGAATCTTCCTCAAAATGAGGAAAGATACTATGAACATGAAGATCCCAGTAGCTGCAAGGATTTGCGGGTCCTTCGGTATTTCCATCCTCAGAAGCTTTTGATCTGCTGTTGGCAGTTTCCTCCGGTTTCTGATTATACCTCCTGGTCTCCACCTTCAGAACTCAACAAAACTCACTGCGAGAGATTCTACGGTTGCAAGGATCCATGCTTATGATCTATAACAACACTTATACAACACAACATGATTATCCATTCATTCACATATATATACGCTCTCAATCACATATTAGACAAATCCAAAACAATAGGAATGAAGTGATGTGCAAACTTTTGAGGAAGTGCGATTCTCAAACTTCAGATGATCGATCAGATTCTTAAATCTTCCACGTGCTACAGTATTCCAACCAAATACTCTACATTAACATTATCTCCAGATTTTATAAATGAAATAGGATTTTGAAGAGTGCATCCCCTTATCCTTCCCGTTATAATAGTTAAATGTTTGTTAATCAGAGTATTACTCACATGTACACCCTTCATTAAAGAACGAATTTCATGTGCCCTTCTCAACAATCAGCACAAGCACTCGATCTCTTATACAGTATTTGAGAATAGCAGTAACACTGGCTCTTGCGTGGAGTGTACACAAATAAACGCTCATAAATTAGCATAATTTTGAGTAGACTAGTGTGGTAATTGGTAGACAGTGCAATGCGAACTGCTCAACATACCAGTATCAGCACTTTTATTGTACTCAAATCTTTCCGAAGTGGAGGTATATTTAACACGTACATGATCAAGGAATCAGAGTTTAAAATTTTGAAATATGTATTGAAATATCGAAAATTCAGTTCAAATCGGCTTGTGCTAATGAACCAATTGGGGCCACTAGACTTCATAGTCATAAAAGAATATTTAAATAGAAAAATAAATGTTAAGAAGCTGAGTTCGACCATGAGATCATAGGGGCTGAGGGTTTAGAGATTAATGCTAGGTTGAAAGTGCCATAGGTCCAAGACCCTATAAAAATGTCCGGAAGTTGGAGCTCTCTTTCACTCCTTGTCCGATTTCCCATACTCAAGATCTGCGTCACCTCTCAAAAGCAATGATTCCTCTTCTCTAAACGCCTCCTTCACCTTCACGGTTGCCGACTTAGCTGCTTGGGCCTTGGCGACTTCCACAGCCCAACTATACGTGATCATCCCCACGACGGCCATGAACATGCCCATTAAATTCTTTCCGGTCAACACAGAGTCAAATAAAATCCATCCCAAAGTCAGGACGCAGACTGTCTTCATATGTCCCAAGACCTGTGATAAAATCAACCAAATGTTCAATACATTGATTAGCAGATGTAAATAATGGGTTCAGTATAATGAGAATCCTCCTCGTAAGAGTTCAAGGTAAAGACCTAAACGCAAAGCCTCAATTTTATTAAGAGCTGTCTCATCAATGAGATGTAGCTCTGGTACTTTCACGAACAGAAGCAAGATTTTCACATAATGCATTTACTAAACCTTGTACTCGTTAAGTATTAGCAGCAACCCACCTGAAATGTCACAGCGGAGAACCGGCCGATGCACAAGTACTGGCTCACGTTGCAGAACACCGCTAGTGTACACGAAAGAAGTATAAAGAACTGCACATGATACGATAAACAAGCTCCGCTTGCAGTCAAACAATAGCAGAGCAGAAACCCACTTCACATGCTAGATTTTCTCCCCAGGAAAGGAATGAACGATCCCCACACTTAAAATCAAGTTGCATCCTGTCATAGTCACTAATTATAGTCAATGTAAACATTTCAAACTGTGGATAGGAACACTAGCACATTTACTTAGCACGCCTAAAAATAACCAAAACAAAATACGATGCATCATCCACTTGCGCCACCGAGACTTTAGATGAGACTTTAGCTTACAATGGCTCCTGCGGTGTACGTATAGTTTAGTAAAACTTCTCCAATCAGAATGTGGTCAACAAAGGGACCTATCAGAAGAAGCGATGCTGCTTGAATAGGTGCTGTCTTGCTTAGCAGTTCAAACGAACCACAACTGTGTTTCTTTTGAAGCGCACCAATATACTGCAAGGAGCAAGCACATAATCATTACTTAAGCACTCTTCAGACTTGCTTAAGTGTCAACTCGTCGAAAACGACCGACATAATAATCACAAACCAAAGAAAAGTCGAGAGAAAAGCAGGAGCAAAAATACACCTCCAAAACCCAAAAGCAAATAGAAGACTCAGGCTGGAGCAACGTCACCAAGAAAACAAGTATGACTCACAATCTGTTGAAGGGAGGTAGAAATCACTGCCACCACTGCCGACATAAATCCTTTGAAGTTGACATTTACGTCAGTCACGGTGCACACACCTACCCCGATCATGACAACAAAAACGGATAGCTTCACTTCCCTAGTGTAAGTCTTGTTGTGGAGTATCCATTCCAATATACATACAGTGGGTATCATACTTAACTTCGCAATCTAAAAAAAATAAAAATAAAAATAAAAAAAATACCAACAATAAAATCATTAGTCGAACATAACGCCACACTGCGAACCATCAATTTCAAAGACTACAATGCCAATGCATCCGAGCATGCCGTGTAGTGAATTATTGAACGTTGAAAAAGAAAAACTTGACGAAAAGAAAGTCTAATTTACACTAACAATGTTTACAAAGAGTGCCCTACATCACTGAATGGACGTCAAATAATGTTTACAACGTCACATTACGAAAATAACTTATACAACTTGTTACATACAACTGTTCCTTGATCACTGAAGACCGGTAACCTTCTAGATTGGCTGAAAGGCTTCACAAATCTCACAATGATTTGCCTGGGCAATCCTCGAACTCACTGTAATTCGGGGTGCCTTCGCTCTATCATAATATCATTCAGGATCGTTCACGTACCTGATAGAAACCCACTGAGTTGAGCATAAGACTCAAATTCATGGAAACAATTGATGTGTTTGACACCAAGGAGAACAGGAACAAATCTCTGAAGGGCACATGCTTGGAGACAGAGTAGCCTAGAGAAGAAGATATGTAACCCACTGCTGCTGTCACTGTGAAGTGAAATGCAGTTAACGTCGTTGCTGCGGCAAATACACGAGACTTTTACTCAGCAAACACAGCTATGTGATGATTCGACCAAAATAAATCAATAGTTGTGTCACAGAGTAATCCATAAAACTACACGGCACCACCTCTGATGAACTCAATCTTGAGCGACTTCCTTACCAAATCTGTAGTTGTAGCCCCCTGCGGACATAACTTGCTTATTCGCCATGATGATCCCCACGGAGCTGATAATGTTCATTGCCCAAGCCCCGACATCTGAGACTCCACCTTTCTTGTCATCTTTCCTGTCAACTTTTTTGTCGGATTTGTCCGACATACTTTTTACTGAATTCATCATAGTTTCTTTGGAGTAGCGGTTTATTCGTCCAATTTCAAAAGCTTGTCACAGGTAAGAAAGCGTTGGTTGTGGCCTTCCTTTGGTCTTCAGTCAGTTGAGGAACACTGCCATGAGTAAGTCAATATCCTACACTGGAAGCCATGCACGAGTTTGGTCCAGTTTCAAAATTGCCAAACCAGCTGAATAAAGAACTCTCCAATCCGGATGCTATAACAAGATCAATGTGTCCTGAACGGAAGTTCAAACCACCTTCGGTATTACTCGTCTCACAGCTAAGTGTGCGTGTAATGTTTCTCACTGCATGAAAGAGAGGAAGTTTAGGTTCATCCTACATTCAGTTGACAAATGCAAGGAACTCCTGTATATCAGAAAACGCCATGATTGGATCAACTACGCAGAAACAAAACCACCTTAAACTTATGAAAATACTTCCTGGGCTTAAGTATCATTCGCATATCAGAAATTAGAACAATCAACAAATGTTAAGCGTTAGTCGTCAACGGAAGGATCAGGTGCTAAAGAAACTAAATGTGACAGAGCATTATGCTCCAATGCAACATGCTTGGGCAAGCTTCTACCTTAAATAGTTCGAGTTCTCAGCTAGGAAGATCTAACAACTGGAAAGCGGAAATAGACGCAATGTGCAGCTTCACACAATGCACAACGAATGTGCGACATCAGCACAGGGTGTGAAATTCCCTGCACACATTACTTAGAACACTACGCAGAAATTGATATTCCCGTTGAACCCAAATGTGTGATGGAATATTAGAAACTAACACATCAAAGCAACGGAAATACACTCTGAATATACTTCAACAACCCTACGACCAGATCACCCAAGGGCGCGCACAGCGCGTAGAGGAAACAAAGATAGCCTCGAGACTGATCTTTAAGAATGACATGAACGCCGATGACCGACCGCACAACAGGATAGAGAAAATGCTAGATTGAAGGAATCTCGATGCGTTTCACTACGGACACCAATACGTCCATAACGACAAAAAAACTTCACGTCACCTGGAAATGCTTTCGGGAGAAAAATCTCAAAACCGTCAAAAATAAAGAAAAAGAAGACAAAACAGGATCTGACCTAAACAAGCAAACAGCAAATCGTCTTCATACGAGGCAAAAACCAACGTACCATTGCAAACCTACGTTGCGCAGCATTCTGCAGCAGAAGGCAATCCATCAACAGAACAGTGCCTAAGAATCCGACTCACCTTATCCAATCCTCTCTGAGCAACCTCGACAACTTCAATCACCTCTGCACCGCTCAATAGTCATATTACAACAACAACACTCGGAAAAATATCTGTATATATATATATATAGATATAGATATATACATAATAATAAAACACACACATGCACACACTCGCCACAACCGAGAAGCTCCCACACTCTTTTATCGTCACCTACACCTGATCCTCCTACGTCCAAGCCCGTGGATCTGCGATGAGCTGCGCAGGGATGAGGGTTGCAGCAAACATCAATTCCTCGCCGAAGAAGCAGCAGAAGAAGAAGCACTGCCAACACACCTGTACGCTCCAAGCTGTGGTCAGAAAGCAGGACAGAGTGTGCAAGAGTGTGCTTTCCCATGACGGTAGTGTGAACGGGGCTGGTGGAAACCCCCTCCCCCTGTTTTGCGACTCACACTTCGGGAGGTTGGAGAAAGTCGGTAGGAGGGCACTGAGGTGGGGGTAAAAAGCTCGATTGCTTTTTTGCTTTGGTTACTTTTTTAGGTAAAAGACCCTGTTCTGAATGCACGTATATTTACCCCTTGGGATGTGAACTTGGCTGACACGACACTGTTTACTACAAGATGCCTCTGACGAATTCTAATATCTTTTTCCTTTTCTTTTATTTTCTTTTAAGGAAATAAAATAAATAAAAAGAAAAAGAATAAAGTTTGTACTTGAAAAAGCGAAAGTGTGATTGTAATGAGGTGCTTTGTGATCATCGCATGTGAATCAAATCATTTTATCTAACTCATGCCCTTAATTGTATGGAATTTTGGGTGACCCAAGAGAAGCATTTCATTTGATTGATTTAGTAATGAGTGGTACATTTTTTTCATGTGTTATTCTTGCTTTTTCATCAATAGCCTTGTGAGTAGCACAATTTGAGTCTTGTCTAATCTAAGCAATAATCATATGTTTGGATTACATTAACAAACATCAATCACATGTATGAAAACTAATAAATGATATGTATTTTGAAAATAATTTTAATGTGTTTACACGTTGAGTTTTGTGGGACAATTGGAGTTTACCAAATGGTTCCTTCTTTTTGGTATATATTATAACAAATATTTACAATCTTTTTCCTATCAAATATTTAAAATTTTAAAATACTAAAAATAAAAAGATTGCCAAAATAAGAACACATATATATTACTTCCATCTTCAACAATATACAATGAATGACAACAGTGTAGGTGAAAGTAAAATGATGCAATTGATAAAGAATTATTTTAAGTATAATAAAATAAAATAGAGAAGAAAAAAGATAATCATACATTTTTTTCAAATGGACAAAAAAGTAAAACCTTGAAAGCCTCCAAGACGAGGGAATTACAAGCTAAATTTACACACAATTACTCAACTTTCTACGTGGCAAGGTTATTCTTTCCTACCCATCTACATACCTCTCGACCCAACTATCTACCCATCTACCTATCTACCTAGGACTGATCACATGGTAGGGTGGTGTTGATTTGGGCCTCGCTGCCCGCTCCGGGAACAAGTAGGAGCTAGCGGGGAGACCAGAGGGGGAAAAGTCAAGTCAAAGTCATCCCAAGAGTACTGGGCTTCCCGCGTGACTCATACTTTGGTCTTCCCCGTGCATCTGGGTCAGCCGGGGTCACACCCATTGAGGACACGCCGCCTGGGCAGAGTCTCTGCCACGCTGGAGCCATGGCCCAAAAATAATAGGGAGGAACTCACATGGCTTGCTATTGACTGACTAATTGTCATAGTAAACCTTAGCTTTTTCTCAGATTCTTCTCCTTTCACTTTTTTGAGGATATACAACATCAATATTCTTTTTACTTTTGTAATTTAATTAAATTTTTTTTTTCTAATCCTTCTAAACCATTGAAAAGATTCTAGCATGCATAGGTTTTAATCATTCCCAAATATATCCCAAAGAAATTATTGTTTGTTTTTAATAAAACCAAAAATTCTGTTGATACATGTTATTATTAGACTCTTAATATGAAGGTGTTCTTTATTTTTTTATCTCCTTGTTTTTAGGAGTTCGTTATAAAAATACACAAATATTCCTAAAAACTACCAAGATTTGTATTTCCTAATTCTAACTTTAAAATAATAAAATATTTCAATGTATTTTGATGAACAATATATTTTTACATAGTTTCAATTAGTGTATAAATTGTGTGTGATTCTATAATTTGTGAAATTACTAGTAGTAGAACATTGTACGATAGTCATAAAAATTTAATATTAGCTCTCATCTATTTTCTACTTCCTTGTTAGAGATATTTTTGGTCTTATAAGAATCATCCAAAAACCCTAACATTTTTTCTGCTTAAAAACAACTCTACTATAGCTCTCTTTCTATATATGCAACCTTCATTTGATGTGCATAAAATCTCAATTACAACTATACTGTAGCTCTCTTTTTATATACACAACCTTCACATGATGTGCATAAAAATCTCAAATTTAACTCTATAAATATTCTATTCAAATATATAAATAAATAAACAAAAACATATTGATCAATAGAAATGCATGCTAGTCTTTGTAAAAGTTTATCCAAATATTAGCTTATCACATGTGTGTTACAAATTTCTCTCTTTTACAACTACATAGCTTTAACATTGGTAATTGTTTTAGTTAGTTAATTTTAATGTTATTTATAAATATTTTTATTGATAAAAAAACTCATTAGAATTTCAAAGAGTGTATATATATATATATATATATATATATATATATTTATTAAGACGTTAGAAAAAATATGAAATTGATACTTGAAATGAATTTAATTTAATTAATATAACAACCAATATTAAGTGTAACTAACTAAAGATGGGAAAAGAATTATATTACAACATCAAAGTCATATGACTATTCTTCTTGTAAATTATTATAAAAATACAATCATATTTATTAATATCGTCCATTCAAACCAAATACCAAAATGTGTTAACAATATAGTATAAAAACATACAAAGGTATTCTTTTATAATCAACTCGTTTTTTGTACTTGATCTTGAAGTTCCACTATGTTATCTTTATTCTGATAAAAGACAATACATAAATAGTTTTTCATTCTCAGAAATATATAAATTTATATATTACCTCGTTAAAAAATATATCAAATTGATTTAAAATATATCAAAATGGATGGCAAATTGTGCTGGTAGTGGCAAAATCTGTGGTTACATGTATAAAATAAAACACATGACTTACATTTTGTTTTTAATTCTTTTAATTCTTTTACATTTAATTATATGATTTATGATTCTTCGGTAGCTCTTTTATTTTTATTTTTATTCTCAAAAGAGTTTGGCATTGTTAAATAACTATTTGATGTCTTGTAATTTTTGATAACCATGTGTATTAAACTACAAACATCATGTATATAAATTAAAATTAGTCTTTAAGAATATCAATGTTTTGAACTATTTAATTTAATTTTAGAAATAAATTTACAATATATATATATATATATATATATATATGTATATATATAATCTGATGAATATTATTCTCCCAACTCAAAGTTTTTTATAATTTTTTTCTATAAATCTTTAAATTATATATATATATATATATATATATATATATATATATCTTTCTGATCATAAACATTTTATGAATATATCCATTATAAATTTATTATTTACAACAATGATTTTACTTATATTAATCAATACATATGTCCAAATTGCTTTAATCTAATGACAAAATTAATATTTTGAAAATAATTGATACTTGCAGTAATTTAAAATGATTAACTAAAATCGAATATTTAAATTTATTTTTATTTATGAAAAAAATTATAAGAATAAACTATTTTATATATTTTTATATTAATTAAAACATATCATGATTATATCATGTAATGGTTCGGATTAAAATATATTAATAAATGATTATTGGTAAGATAATTAACCATGAGAATTAGACACTTTGAATGACTCTCTATCAACATATCCTTGACTCAAAGCTACCAAATCAGAACAATAACATTTCTTTCAACATTTTCCAGAACAGTTTTTGGTCATCAAAAGCATCTTAAACCCAAAACCCCTACCTGAAACACACAATAGCAAATGTACGTGTTAATCTAATTTACTTAAAAAAATATACACTTCTATTTGTATGGATGGATTTGGTCCTAGCAAACTCAAATACATCAAGTGGAGGTGTATCAAAATAGACTTATTTGATTCTACGTTTGATCACTAAAGTAAAGATCTAGCTTTCGGTTGGTAGTACATAGAAGCATAGAATTAATTACTTTTGGTTCTCCTTCCTCAAAATTTATTAAAAAAATTCTCCCAAGTTATTACAACGCCAAAATCTCGCGGAATAGGATTCTGCCACGTGGAGGAGACGCAGGGACTCCAATTGCACAAGTCAACCCAATCATCTGAACTAGACCAATAATTGTCAATGCACAAAGTGGACCCACACCCGTGGTCCTTGCTCTCCCCCACCTTTCCTCCTATCACCGTGGCCCACGCCCTGCCCAGTCAGCAACTTTATGGATGAATGTATATAGATGGGTGGACAGAATAAGAGAAGGACCACCATCTCGCCGTCTGTTGCTCAGAAGAAATAATCCACGACTTGATGAAAAAACGAACGAACGACTGAGCATTTACTGATGGATGAGCCGCAGGACACCCTTTGCGGCGACACAGAACCATAAATTATTTCCTTTCTCATCTACCACTTCCAATTTTTTATTTCTATTAATCGACATAGAAAAAGGAGACAAAAAGCAAAAGAACTAATGGGAGGGAATGCTTTTATGTTCCACATTCAGGATGCTAGAGAAGCTATGAACAGAATTCCTATCTTCCGTTCACAGCGTTCATCCAAGCTTGTCATTTTTGGTTTAATCGGACGCCGTAATTAGAATGAAAGACGTGGTTATTCTAAGGAAAGGTGCCACGTAGAGGGGGCAATTCCGCGTTGGAACGGGCGCGGAAACCAATATGCAAGCTGGTGCGGTTGAGCAAAGAGGGGGGTCGGTAACTAGGGCGGAGGGGAGGGAGAGGGAAAGAGAGAAAGAAGAGGAGAGAGGAAGGGGAGTGAAAGGAACAAGGAGGAGCCACAGCACTGCAATGAACGAAAGCACGCGTTTGTACCAAGGGAACCATTCAAGACATATGCTCTGCTCCGCCACAGTTTACCATTCATAATTCCCCCTCCTTCTCTGTCTCTCTCCCTCTCGCGCTTGCTCGCTTGCTGGCCTGCGTCTGGCCATCAAGCGATTGCACGCCACGGCTGGCTGCTCCGACCGCCTGAGTCGGTTTTTTCGTGGAGATTTGACGCAGTGGAGGACGTTTGTTCGGTTTCGGTGCAAGTAGATCTTACTATTTAGGAGTGATCCGACTTGAAGCGAGGGCGAGTGGTTCTTTCGCCGAGGGTAAGTAAGTGTGTGGAGGATTTCTGCACTGGTGGAGTGTGGGAGAATGCGGGTGACGTGTTTAAGCTCTCTTAGACGCCTGGACTTCGCAAGTTTTTGTAAATTTGGTGTGTAGATCTGGGGTTGGAGGTTTTGGATTTCCAGTGCGGATGTAGCAGATAGCTGCAGATAGCTGCAGATAGCGAGCCGCTGCGGATTTTATGCGGCCAGGGGTGAGTGAGGTGGAGGGAAATTTACTGTCGGTTCCATATGCTTTGTTTCGAGTGTGTTGGCCGACCTCGTAGTACGTATTGCCTCGTCCACCGTTGTAGCGCATGGTCATTTAGGTGTGTGCGCAAATATTGCGAACTGGCGTTCGTTCTCGCAAGATTCATGCGTTCAACTTTGGCTCTTGAAATATATTACGAGCTCTGGTGCCATCATTCTCGCGCCCTTGATAGAATGTGAATAAAAGCTCGTCATTTAGATTTTCTTGGTCTTTTATGGCTGAGATTCTTCTTTGGATTTCACCTCCAAAGTGTGTTTCGTACTGCCTGATGATTGATAGTTTATTCACCAGTGACCATTATGTAGATTTCCCTTCTTGTATTATCATGGATACCCGTGATCTGAGTACGGTACTTTCCACTATTGGTTTCAGTAACGCCAAAATTGCATTTAAGTGTCGTTCCTCTGCCGTTTTTTTTTATTTAATCTTTTTAGACCTAAAGGGTCGCTCATCACTGCCCTTGGGCCCATTCACATGCAAGAGTGATCGTCTCATAGCTGGGCCATATTTTTTGTGTCGTAGGTTGACGTGTTTCCTGTACATTCCAGGCGTGTAACGACAAGCTTTGTGGTTAATTAGGTATTGATTTTGTGGGCGGGATTTGTACGCAACACTGCACTGTATCAACATCCATCAATACTCTCGGAGACGAAGTTCACTCCAGCTCATCTGATCTGGTTATTCATGGCAGCGTGTTGTGTGTAACAGAAGACCGACGCTTTTTTCCGTATAAATTGCTGTGTACCTACAGCCCCTGCCAGATTGGAGAGCCAGTTCTTAGAAAATAGCAGCCATGATGAGCTCAGTGAAAGCGAACATGGAGCCTCCAGTTGAAAAGAAAGAGGAGAAGAAAGCAGTTTCAGATGTGGGAGCTTGGGCCATGAATATTATCAGCTCTGTTGGTATTATCATGGCTAATAAACAAGTTATGTCGAAAGGAGGTTACGACTTCAGATTTGGTGAGGTTTCACGAGCCACATATGGCGATCTCGAACCATGCTCGTGTTTCTTTCGCCGTTTGTTACCTACGATTCAGTTGCAAACCCTCAGGTTGACGCAGTAGGGTAATGGACCTGGGATTTATAGCCATTGGATGTTCATTGCATGAATTCCATCTTCTCTTACTGGCTAATTCCTGGATGCAGCAACAACTTTGACGGCGTTCCACTTCGCCGTGACGGCAGGAGTGGGTTACGTGTCTTCTGCAATGGGCTACTCTGTCTCAAAGCATGTGCCATTCAAGGATTTGTTTCTGTTCTCCTTGGTGTCCAACACATCTATTGTTTCTATGAACCTGAGTCTTATGCTAAATTCTGTCGGCTTCTACCAGGTATTTGGATGCATCCAAGGCAACTCATTCGAAATTTATAAGATGTATGTCAGGAAGTAAATTGTGCCATCAGTAGGTTGGAGTGACAGTCGTATTGTTGAAACGCATCTGATCCACAACTCTTTGATTAAAGTAATCTCTTCATCCTCGTAATACAATGAAATGTTTCAAGCTCTTACCCCCCATCCGAGGTGAATTTTCTCCCTCGAATGTACAAAGGAAGAGCTCTGTGAGTCCCTACCTCTGACAGCTTGTTCACCAAATTTCTTGCTTCTTTGATACAGATCGCTAAATTGAGTATGATACCCACTGTGAGCATTCTAGAGTGGATAATTCACAACAAGAACTACACAAGGGAGGTCAAGATCTCCATATTTATAGTTATGATTGGGGTTGGCGTCTGCACTGTGACAGACGTTAGTGTTAATCTTAAGGGATTTTTAGCAGCTGTTACTGCAGTAATTTCTACTTCACTCCAACAGATTGTAAGTTACCACTCACTAGATTTTTTTCTGCTGAGTTAGAGAGTGTCATAGTACATCTTATTACGTCTAGTACAGAAATTCTGAAATCCTTTGTCGGATCCCCTTCCTGGTTGACTTCGTGCGTACCATTGCGATGGCATTGTCAGCTCTGAGCCGGTTGATTGGTTTTCCTCCGTGCTGAGCAGATTTTGACATTATGTTCTTGTTTCACTTTCCTGATAATTTTTTTGACATTCTGCAGTACATTGGTGCACTGCAAAAGAAGCACAGTTGTGGCTCTTTCGAACTTTTAAGCAAGACCGCACCTATTCAAGCTGCGTCGTTGATAATCCTTGGTCCCTATGTTGACTACTTCCTCAATGGCCGCAACATTTTGGACTATTCCTACAGCATTGGAGCTGTGGTAAGTCCTGATACTGCACTGAAGTTCTTGATTTGCGTGCTTCATACATTGTTCTGTTCTTTCTAATAGCTAACTCTGCTACTCTGCGAAAACAAGATTATGTGCTAAACTGTATCGTTGACCCTGCAGATGTTTATATTGCTCTCATGCGTTCTTGCTGTATTCTGCAACATCAGCCAGTATTTGTGTATCGGGAGATTCTCTGCAGTCACATTCCAGGTTATCTAATGCGCTTACTCGTGTTGTCGACTGGATTGGTTATCTATTTAAGCTGCCATGTGCAATTTACATATTTCTTTACATCATTATTACCCTAACCATTTCCACTGCCGTCTTTTGAGATGCTTTCTTACAATGCAACTTAAAATTCAAGTGGCTTTTGGACTTTGTGCATATGGCCGACACAATTATACTAAGTTTTCTTTCTTTGTAGGTTCTGGGACACATGAAGACTGTTTGCGTCCTACTTTTGGGATGGATTCTTTTTGATTCAGTGTTAACCGGGAAGAACTTAATGGGCATGTTCATGGCAATAGTAGGAATGATCACCTACAGCTGGGCCGTGGAATTTGCCAAGGCACAAGCAGCTAAAGCCGCTTCTGTTAAAACTGTAGAGCCCAACGCATCGGAAGAGGAAGTTAGCTCGTTATTGAAAGGTGACTTGGAATTAGGGAAGTCGGACAAGTACTGAGCAGATTCTGACTAGGACAGTTACCATCGGAGGGGCTTGCGTTTTTGAAACGCCCTCACCAAGACCATTTCCTGCTTGGAGACCGTATATTAAAGTCGGAAGACTGAAGACCTTATTCAGCTTACGCTTGGAAACACTGGAAAATAGCCATTTCAGTAATCATCATTGTAGTTAGAGTGTGGGGACAGTTCCATTCCTCATTCTATCGTCTCGCTGGGAGCACGAGGCTGGAGTTAGTTAGCTCCTTTTTTGATCATGCCGATTTCCTCGCAATCAATTATTTATTCATTTCTTCCACGGAAGCCACTGTCTATCTTTGAGTACGATGAAAGTGATTTTGCATGTTAACTGCAATGTGCACAACAAGCTTATTTCGTTAGCAAATTCTCTTCGACGCACCGCCTCAGACAATTTCGATGTTCATTTCTGCAATGCACGGGAGGACTTGGCATCACAGCTCATCCAGTCGATATTAAATGGCACATTTATTCGATGATTTGACAGCAATCACATGCATGATTGCACTTGAAAAAAGCACATTTGTACATGTCGATTCTGTTGTGGGTATCAAATGTGTTGAAATCAGTCCCTATTTGTAGGACTTATGAATCTTACCATCCGCCGAGAAATCGGCTCACAAACTTCTGGACATTAGATGTAAGCACTTGAATACCCAACCCCTAATAATAATAATGCGATCACTGGGACGAATCTGTGTACAGCTCGTGGCGTTGAGTGCAAATAAACCTCTAAATTAGACCACCTCCGCGGCATGATAGGGAGCACTGTTCCAACCACGCGAAGTCGAGCTTTTGATACGTGGCTGGAATGAAGCACTGTTCGGCCAACTCTCTCCTGTCCTCATACCAGAAATACAGACACTTTTGAGGAGAATTTGAAAACTATGGAACCCAACAATTACGTGTACACCCAACAGAATTTGACAAATACCCAAATGGCGCCATAGCGATAATTGTGTTGGGCACCACGAATTTGGAGCCGCACGTGGTCGGAACGAGGAGAAATTTTGTGGGTGCTTCGTTCAGATTTAGGAGTTTTCGAGGAATTTCAGTGTGGCGCACCTTCCCCGGTGCCCGATCTCGACCAGGTCAAGTCAAACCCTAAAAAACAATTCAACTGGGCTTGGCTTGGCTTCTGCGAAGGGAAGGGTAATAAATGAGTGAAAAACAAAAACTCAACGACACCCTACAATCAATCACCTTTTTCACCTCCTTTATTGAACTGAAGGTTAATGCCTTTTTCTGTATCATAGCATTTTTTTTTTTGCCTTTTTCATATATTTTTTAATCTTGGATTATTGTTTTGTCTTGTACGATAACTTGGTAATGATTGTTCCTAATTAAGTTTGATAAGATTTCCTACCCTAATTAACATTTAGAATCTCTCAAAGTTTAAATGCATTAAGCCACTATTATATCTTAGTACCTACCAAATATTGTGCAACATCACTGATGCTCAAAGTTATGTTTTTGATGGGAAACAAACAATACATTGTAATTTAAGAACCAATACTTTTAAAACTATTGTTTAAAGTTCTGTAAAATTTTTACACAAAATTCTTAATTACATAATAAATATTTGTTACCAATGCATTTTCTATTGTATTCATTTTTGCAAGAATTTTCTTTTATTAAATAGCCAATGCTTGATTTATCAATTCAATATAATATCAAATTTAATTTTATTCAGTTTTATTTGTATGTTAAAATTTACAAAAATATGAAAGATATTTTTTTGCAAGCTTCTTTTTTATTTTTATTTTTTTAATTTATTTTTATTTTTAAATAGTATTTTTTTCTCTATATAAATATATTTTTCTTCTAATTTTTATGACTAAAACCCTTTATATTAAATTTGTCTCTATTTTAATATAACTTAAAGCATGTAATAGATTTGATCTACTTTAAATATAATGAAAATAAAAAAAATGTTCGAAAGACAATTTGTAATTATGTCTTTTAGTTAAAAATATATGTCTTTAAATTTATAATTTTTTATTAATAAAAATTTAAAAATAAAATTAAGATTAGTTTTATTTTTTAAAGTTGTAATAAATAATGTACATGATTTCTAATTTCATATTTAATCAAATTTAAAGTTTAATTATTAATAAATATAAAAATAATATTTTTTATACTTTTTATAATTATTTTATAATTTAATAATACATTAATTCACAAACAACTTAAAAGTAAATTAGATTGGTAAATCAAGACACTATTCAATGGCAAAATGGACCAATTATAATTTTTATTAATTTTATTATAATAATATGTAATAGTTAATTGAAGCCCTATTTATTAATTAATTAAAAAATATTTGTTTTTAAAGTAATTTATTGGTTATTTCTTTGATATGTATTTTTACACATGATGAAACATTACAAATCTTTATAATGTGGTTTGAATGATATAATACTTATTAGTTCTTATCAATCAGGTCAATAAAATAAAAAGAAAAAAAACTTCACAACTATCTTTATTCTAGCTAAAATTTTATCTAATAAAATAATAATAATTATTGAATTTACCATAGTAATTAAATAATTTCAATAGAATTGACTAATACATCTATGGCCAATTTAACAATTAATCCATAAAAAATAAATTTTCTATATCAATGATAAAATAATCAGATTTTTTGTGATGAACAATTTGATTTTGGAATTTTTATTTTATTTAAGTTAACAGTGTGTAGTGATATTGTCTAATCTATTTTAATATATAGATGTTAATCGAGCTTTTGGAATTATTAGCAAACATGGAACAAGATCTTATTAAATTAGACTTGATATATATAATGATTGAAAAGGAAACAAGCCCAATTTATTACTCAACCTTTGACCCAATACTAGCTAACTTATAGTGCTACTGCTTGAGACCCTCTAAGTAGTGTGCTACTTCTTGACAACTCCGTTTTGCTTTCCCTGACCCTTAAATATCCCTCTACCTTACTACATTCTTGTTAATTTTGATGGCATTGTAATTGCATCTTATCTCCTTGCTTACTACTCCTCTAATGTCATGCTATTGGGATATTTTAGTGAATATCATCTAGAAGCAAATACAAGTTCCTTAGACATGTAACATTGTTGCAAGTAGATGTGATTACCTTATGCGGATAACAGTAAACAATTATTTAAAAACTCTTTTTGTATAACATAAATCAGATGCAAATTTATGTAGTACAATCTATGTAGCAACTAGTAATAATAAAAAATGCCATATGTTTCATCTAATAAGTTATAATTATAGAAAATTAATCTTTTTATTATAATTAATCAAATAATTAAATAACTATTACCAAAAATAAAATAATTAGATTAATACTAATGTTGTAGATAAATAATCTCTTAATAATAAATATATACTTAAGATAGCTAAATATTTATTATTGATTTTTTATTTAATTATGTAAAAATATTTTTTAATATAAAGATAATAAATAGAATCAATAAAATACAATAATCTAATAACAAATACAATCTTTTTATGATTGGATTGGTATAAAATATTTCTATAGTTTAATTTTAAATTACATTCATAATATAATTAAATTAGAATTTACTTGTTTGAGATTAATTCATACTCCTTGAATTTTTTTGAGATCTTTGTATTAATTCTTTAAAAAAGAAGCAATATTATGTATTTGATCATTTACATATTCAATCTATTATTTACAATCTTATCTAAGATGAGTGCTTCAGTTTCAAAATCCAAAAAAATCTTCTCAAGTTTCATTAATTTTGTGTCTACATTCACATTTTGAATTAATACTTGGGTGTATTTTATTTTCACAAATTTGACTAAAACAAAAGCATTGACATAGATTTGTCTTTGAATAAAGTATAAATCATGATTTTAGTTGCATAGGAGCTATTATCTTTAAATACTAAAATTTTGTAATTAAATTTTTTTCTCTTATTAAGTTTATTACTTTTAATTTTACACTTGGTAGTTTACATTTAAATAAAATAGTTAAAAAAGAGTCGGCACTTCCAACATTTGAACAAAAAATCAATAGTATAGGACACTTTACTTGCTATATGTGTTGTTTCTTAGTCAACTATAGTTTTACTATTTATTTATTTATAAAAATATTTTTTCTCCTATTTTCTATGATATTAATGCTATTGTAGTAGTAAGATATTTTATCCAAAAAATTAAGATAAATAAATATACAATAATATATATATATATATATATATATATATTATAAAAATATAATTCTTGTATAAATTTTTTATAACATTTTTATTTGAATGTGTACTTGTGTATTAAAAGATTTTGTCTTAGTGATTGAAACATACAATTATGATTGTTGTAAAATGAACTATTTGTATGTGTAAATGTATAAGTGTTTTCCTCTTAATTTAATGAATAATATTTATATTAATTCTTAAGATTATATATATATATATATATATATATATATATATATATATATATATAGTAAATTTTAATTTATTTTTTATTCTTTATATACTATTTTAAATTTTTTATGATTATTTTGGTGTATTAAAATTTTAGAATAGGATATAAAATCTAACAAGCTTATTTTGCATGCACAAGTAAAATTTGTTATTAGTAAATATATATTCTTTAATATTTGATACCTTTTATTAAATATTTTAATCTATTTTTGTTCATATATATATTTTTTATTTATAAATTCTTAAAATCATAGTAAAACTTTCATGATAGTCTTAAAATCTAATATACCATACAAATATTATATTCCTTGCATAGTTATTATCATTTTAATTTTTTAAATAAGTCTAAAAATAAAATGATATATATTCTTATTATTTTTATATTCATAATAATTTTTAAACTTATAACAAAAAATTTAATTAGTAATGCATTTTTTTGATTAAAATATTTAAACATCTATAGCTCAAAGATTTAAGTAGCTGTGGCATATAAGCACCGCATATATTCTTTTCTTTACTCTATACTATTATAAAATTCTAAACTGAAATTAAATTTATATTTTTAATCAGTATATAAGTCAATTGTTTTGTTGCATGTTCAAAAAATCACTTTATTTTTTTGATGTAACATAGTACAAAACGACTACTTATTATAAAAAATTACAAAGCCAAATATATTTTTTAGCAATGTAAAATTTTATGTCTTTTGATTTAATTTGTTCTGAAACACATTACTTTTAAATAATCTTCAATATCTGATTTTTACAAAAATAGCATCTTCTTCTATAATATAATTTTAAAATTTACCAAATCTCATTTGTTTTTGTCTTTGATAAAAGAATGTGTTGTAAGACTCTT